GAAATAAGTCACCTTTTTAACCATCATGACAGCTCTCTGGGCCGTCATGTAAATTCCGCGTCACGCAAAAGCTTAGAAATTCAAGCGTAGTTTATCACAAAACCAAGAACCCGTTGGGGGCGAAAATTTGTATGAATATTAGTTTTCAGCTGCTCTTACACATCATTAAAGTAAAATCTCATGAAGATCAATAGTTTTGTAGTTCGAAATTTAGTGATGTCATGTGAAAACCAGCTATACTCCTGTGAATGAGCAGTTACCTTGTCATATTCGGTCGCCCAGTCTTTATACAGTTTCTTTATTTCCTCTTCTGTTGTCTCTTTCGTCAGTTTGCTGATTTTTGGGCCGATGTATTTTTCATACCTGGAGTCGTATGATGCCATCGATCACTTGGGATCCCTGATATGTATAAAATAATATAACTTGGGAATTTAGCAGCACATCTACAGTTTATACCTTCTGTTGTAAACACATTTCTGAGTTGAGCGTAAGTCTTTAACTATGAAACCTATGAACACATTTTCGGTGTCGCTATCAAGTAATAACAATCCGAGTATTCTCCTCGGACGGGCACTATGGGCAGATAGTGTCTCCCCGCTGATGAACACTACTGCGTCACGTGGGCAATTTAAACCCATATTTCGCGATGAACAACGCATGTAACACGCATAGAAATCGAGAGCGAATTATCTAATTGTTTTAGTACAGATCTGCTAGTCGTTCAGAACCTCATCTAGATCCTCTACACAGACACTTCGAAAACGCACACAAGCGGTCCCCAGTTTGTTAACGGGCGCACACTGCTACACTACTCGCCACTGATCTACTAAGCAATTAGATTATGAGCTCGAGATTAACTATAACTCATAGAAATCGAGAGCGAATAATCTAATTGTTTTAGTATGAATCTACTAGTTGATCAAAACCTTATCTAAATATTCTTCACAAACACCTCAAACGCGTCATTCATTGTTCTCCGCATTAGCATTTAACGATTATGATTACACTGTCATTAGCATTGAAGAATCAAAGTTTTGAAATAGATTATTTTTCCAACCTGATAATAATATTAATTGAATTAGCGTTTTGAAATTACACGACAGTAAGGACGTTTAATTCTCGGCGATTGTTTTCAGTGGAACTTAGTCGGTACGTTTTCGAAAACGTGAAATTTACTTGTTCGTGCTGGATGGGCACAATAATGCACTTAAACGATGCATATCGATTTTGTGAACTGAGTTTTGAATTAAACGTTGATTGTTTCCGGAAAACGGACGCTAATGCTGTGTTTACATTTGAG